AAGCACACCATTCATTCCTTAGAGATCCTATAATGGGTCGCCATGAGTCGGAACTGACTCCACAGCACATAACCACAACAACAACGAACCCTTTGAGATGGAGGCCTGGTGTGGCACTGTTGGATTAAAGCACTGGACCACAAGGTTGGTTTGAACCACAAGGCTGGCGGTTCAAACACACAAGCCATTCCTTGGAAACGCTATTTGTTGGTGGTGGTGTTAAGTGCTGTCGAGTCGGTTCCGACCCATGGTTGACCCTGTCTTGCCTTGAGTTGAGGACAGGGGTCATAGATGTCAGAATGATGCAGCCTCCAAGGGGGAAGGAAGGGGGTGGTGGTCCTGGGTAGTGAAGGGTCCCTGGTGGGCAGTCACTGGCCTTTGAGTCTGAGGGGCCTCTTCAGCTTGGGAGGGAAAGGAAGCTGGCAGTGGGACCCTGGTGGTGGTGGGGAGGCTGGTGTTGAACACTTGGGTGTAGGGAGCTTAAGGTGGTAGATAGGAAAAGGGGACTTGTCTGTGTACTGGGAGGCCAGCTCCCTCAGCCTCCTTCTCTTCTCCTGCCAAGCTAAGCTGCACTAAGGTGGTATTTGGGGGTAGGGGGAAAATTTCCAGCCATAGTGGTACCTGTTTGCTCAGACGTTCTAGCTGTGAGCAGTGGGAAGGTAGAGGGTGGGCTAAAGGACCCGCTTACTTAGCCTCCCTAACACCAAGAGAACCCCCCACCCTGAAGGCAGGTCTGCCTTGGAGCCTGGTCAGTACCGACTTAGAAGACATGGACATAAATGCTTGTCCAATCCCTGGCTCAGGGACCAAGCCAACCAACAGCTTTCAGAGACCGGCTAAGCTGCCTGTGTCTGGGCATTGAGTTCCTGGCAGAGAGGGAGGTGGCAGACGGCAGGCAGGAAAAGCCACACTTCTCAGAATCGAGTCGGGAGATTGGAGCTGGAAACATCCCCAGAGACCCTGGCTGCCTGTCAGAATCCCCTGGGGGTGTTAAGGAGCCTGGGCCCTGCCATGGACCTGTTACCTGGAGCTAGGACAGGAGGCTGGAACTGTAAACTATTAACAGCTGCTCTACCTGCCTGCTTCCCAGGTGGTCAAACTGAGGTCTCCACCTGAGCAACATGACCAGTGAGGCCTTACCAGAACTCTTCATCCAGTGGCCCTCTCAGTTCATGTCCCTCCACTCACTCCACTTCTGTCTTTTTGGGGTTTCCAGAGACAAAACTGCCCCCTTTCCCCTCTCCTCACCTGCTTGCTGGGGGAGACTCCCCTCTCTTTGTCCCTTCTGTGGAGTAGCCTCCAGACCCATCACCCCGCTTATATAAGGGAAGTTGGAGTTTGGGGCCCTCCATTTCCGATGCTTTCTAGATGGCGTCACATTCTCAGCGGCTGAGACTGCATTTGGACTTCTGTGGTGTGGGATGACCAACCATCCCAGTTTGCTCAGGATTCAGGTTTTCTGTTCCAAGGGACTTACAGTGCTAAACGCAGGGACAACCCCATGCAAACCAGAGCCAGTTGGTCACTCTCACTGCAGGTTGGCTGTGAATGGGTTGACTGGTCATTCCTGGTCCCTCCATCACTGAGTGTGAGGGACACAGCCCTCCTGCAGTAAGTGGACAGAGAAGGATCAGCTTCAGACAGACCACATCACTGCACCCTGCTGCTGGCTTTGAGCACATTTGTGGACAGCAGGACACTGTCCAGTGACCGTTTCTAAGCAGGAAGGGGATGTGAGATTCATGTTTAGTGAGACTGTTTGGACTGTGTGTGGGGACAAGAGGAGCCTGTGGTGTGGACAGGAGGTGGCCAGACTCAGGTGCATTATGGAGCAAACCAACAGGTCTCTGGTCGGGTAAAGGATTCTAGCAAAACATCCAGGTTTTCCACCTGAGTGTGGACAGCAGGGAAACTGGAGGAGGACGAAACTCGGGGCTGCCCAATTTGAGCTGCTCGTTATGAGACATTGATGAGGGGGTGTTGGGGGAGGGAGGGTGAGAGATGTTAACTGGGGGTCGCTGGCATTTAAAGCTGAGAAGGAGATGGTCTGGGCCAAGCCTGGGCTACAGCATGGAGTGGCCAGGGCCTGGGGGGAAGTAAGCTTGAAGAGCATGTCTGAAGAAGGAGGGGGTCCTCGAAGCCTTAAGAATCTTGGCCCACTCAGAAACCAGGGGTAGCTGGAGGTCCCTCTTCACCAGGGTTCCAGGCTGTGTGTACCCCCTGGTCAGGAGCTAGCCATCCATCACCTGCCTCCCTCTGCTGACAATCTCTTCTGAGTCCTCTGTCCTCTTACCCTCCTGTCTCGATGTGGGACAATGCAGGCCTGCTCTGGCCATATCGGGCACCCTCCCTCCTGGGGATCTTTCTCCAGCTTCTCCTGGGCTCTTGCTTCAGGGTCTCTGTGCTTTCTTCTTTTTAGCCTGTTGATATTATTGGGCAATTGTCTCCCTCCCGCTTCTGTATCTTTTTAGAAGGAGTCCCACTATACAGGCAAGAAACCTCAGGACTTGTGGGATTCTCCCAACGTGCGCCTAGTGGGCTGGGGGCTGACCACAGCTTTGGTTCTTCATCCATACTCTTGCCCCTCTGCCCTACCCACCAGTCCCAGCCCCCACCCCCGCCCCTGCCCCTCTTTCAGGGCCCTGGGCATTTGGGGGCATGGCCTATTTCCTCCCTGCTGCCCAGCCCCGCCCCACCCCACCTCTTCCCTGCTTCCTCCCTAAGTGGATTAGGGCCTTTACAGAGGGAGTCCACAGTGTCTGGGCCCTCAGGGACCAGGGCTGGCTGGCTGGTGCCTTCCTGCTTGGTCCTGATTCAATTTGGGCCTCAGCAGCTGGGAGACCAACAGCCCAGGCCCTTTCTGGGAATGGCTGAAAGGACTGGCCCCTGGGGTTGCTGTGGGTAGGGGAAGAAAGGGGAAGGAAAGGGGGAAGGCAGGGCAAGACTTTCAGTCCCCACTGTACTCCAGACAGGCAGGCCTAATGCCACATGGCAGATCTTTTTTGGATAGGATTCATGCTCACAGATAAGGAGCTCTGATAACGTAGTGGTTATGAATCGGGCTGTGAACCGCAAGATCAGTAGTTCGAAACTACCAGCTGCTCCGCGGGAGAAAGATGAGGCTTTCTTCTCCCGTAAAGATTTACAGCCTCGGAAACCCTGTTCAGGGTCGCTATGGGTTGGAACCGACTCAACGGCACTTAACAAGAACAACATGCTCACAGATAATCTCTGGCTGTTCTTATCTGTACACATGTCCCATCCATGGCCTGCCATACCCGCTGGCGTCCCATAATACTGTGGGTTTCAGAAGTATAAAATTACCACCTGTAGAAGGAATATATTGGAAATACTCAGAAGTCAACTGAAAACACATGTCGGCCAAATGCTGACTGCCTGACTGATGAAAATCACTATTTCTGCAAACATTATAAAGTAGCTGTGATTCTGGACCAAACTGAGATATAAACCTTGGTCCAGTCCCAGTTCCTCTGAGTCAGACCTCTAACCCTGACTCTGGGTAAACGGCGGGCTTTTTCTGGCACCACCTGTGGTGGGACCCCAGAGCCTTGACCCATGCTGCATTCTGGGAACTGTACTGGACCCCGGGAGAGCAGGAGTGACAGATAGATAGGAGTTTTGTATGGGGAACATTGTAGCAAAGCCCCCCCACCCCTCCAGGCTCAGCACCCTTTAAGGCTGTCCAGCCCACTAGGGCTGTGTGCATGGACTTCGGGGTCCTTGTCTAGAAGCGGGCAGAGAGACAACTAGGTTTGTAAATATCTAAAGTGCCCACAGCCTCGCTCCTTGTTGGCTCCCAGTATCGATGGGGTCACGTGCAGAGCCCTGGAACGGCTGGACCCCTTGCCCTCACCACTGCCCTCACCTTTGCTTGTCAGAGGGGGCAGTGGCCTGGCTGTCCCTAAGCAGCCTGTGAGTGGGCCCCTCAGACCTCATTCCCAGGGTCAGGAAGGGGACAGGGCAGCATGGCACCAAGAACTGAGATGAGAGAGGACCATCTTTGTGTCTTGAGGCGGGGGGCTGGGAGCTGCCAGGAGCAGTGGTCTCATGGGTTCTTGGCGAGTCTTGATCTGAGGCCCTGTCAAGGGAGCCGAGGAAGGCAGAAAGCAATCCTGGCCTCCAGGGGCCCATGACACCAGGACGAAGTCCTGCTCAGGGAAGCCCTGATCTGAGGCGAACAGCCCCTGAGGCCAGAGTCCCAGTGGCCCAGAGGCCGGCAGGGTACTGACCTCTCCCTGGGAGCCTACGGCCTAACATGGATCTATGTGGTGGTGTCAGATGTGTGGGGACCCAACCAAAGCACTCCAAGGGTAGCCTCCCTGAGTCAGCAAACAGCAGGTGTCAACGGGCGGGCCAGGAATGGCAGAAGGAACCAAACCAGCAAAGGCTGGGGAGGCAGGAGGGACGTTGGTACGTCTGGGGGACCGCCTCAAGTGTGGGGTGTGATAGAGTTGTGTTGAAATGGAAGTTGAGACCAGGAGGGTCTTAAATGCCAGGCTAAGGAATCAGGAACTATAACCCTGTAGGCAGTAGGAATCACAGAGGGTATGTAAACAGAGGAGGGCCTTGAATGTCAGGCTGAGACAGTAGGGAGCCATGGAGGGTGTTTGAGCAGGAGTGGACTGTGGCCAAAACTATGTGCATGGGAGTGTTGACCATTGGGGCCTGCCAGGTAGATTGGCCACAGTATTAGGCTTGCTCTGGGGTCGCAGACTTGCGGGGAACGGTGCTGTGGGGCTCACCCCTGTATGGACGTGTTTGAGCTGCTGTGTGCTCAAGCCTGTTTAGGTTCTAATTCTGTCGTGACTATGAGGCCCTTGGGTGTAGGGAAGGCCAGCTCTTGATTCATCCCACAGGAGAAGTAGAGGTGGTCTAGTATAGGTGGCCAGGTGTCTTGTGGTGTACAGCCACCAGGTGTGCCCTGCCCTGTGCCATGTGCCCACTGCCTCCCCTCCTTCTCTCCCGCCCTCCAGGTGACCATGGCCTTGCTGGGGAAGCGCTGTGACATGCCTGCTAACGGCTGCGGGTCTGACCGCTGGAACACTGCCATCGCCCGCAAAGACGAGATCATCACCAGCCTTGTGTCTGCCTTAGATTCCATGGTGAGTGACCTCTCTGGCTCTTAGTTTAACCTTCTGCGAAATGAGCTCCAAGTGAAGTGTATATGAATCTTGTCAAGTGCCATCAAGTCATTTCATAGTGATCTTCCCTGTAAATCGTGGGAGCAGAAAGCCTCACCTTTCCCCTGCATATGAATCTAGCCCCAGGAATTAACATTAGTTCCCGGCTCTCTTTCCCTTGCCCTCACATCCTTTCCTCTTGCCATTTAAACTTTGTTCTTGGGGTCAGCCAAGTGTTCCTGGGTGGTGAACTAATAATTCCAGCCTCCTACAGGGTCCTTGGCGTCTGCAGGGGGCATGGGGCTAACGTGAAGTCCATTCTCACAAGTCTTTAGCCAGGTCTGATTCCGGCCTATGGCTTCATTGCAACAAGACAGGCCTGTGGGAGGAAGCATCCTTTAGCTCTGAGAACCACTCCTCTATGGCAACAAATGAACTGATTTCTTTCTTTCTTTTTTTATTATTAGTAACCATTGCACAGTGAACTTCCTGACACCAGCTTTGTCTTTTGTTTTGTTTTGAGATTTTTATTTTTTGCACACCTAATTCGGGTTTCCAAATCGAAGGTACTTAACAACAAGTGCAGGTTTACAGAGCAGATCATCAGTTTTACATTCAACAAATCAGGCACTTTGTTTTCATCTCAATGATTGCAGTTGCTGTTCGATAGCTTCCCTGTGATTTGTTTCCAGTCTACCTTCTTTCCCCACATTTTCTGAATTTTATCCATAGGGAAACGTAACCCTTTTGACCTGGAATGGTTGCTCATTCTACGTTGTGTAATGCCTCACTAGTGTTACCACACTCCTCGTCCCCCACATGCCCCCCTGTTAGTTACTTAGCTGAAAACTGAGCCACAGGAGTGATTTCAGTTCCACACCTGGAGAGGGGGTCCAAGGGGCATGTAGTCTGAGGGTTCTACCGGTTTCTGTCTGACCAGTATGAGACCAGCTTCTATGCAGAGAGAGCGACAGGCTTCTCTCTTCATTTTAAACCAAACTCAATCTATTGCTGTTGAGCCATTTCGGATTCATGGCGACCCCTGTGTTACAGACTAGAACTGCACCATAGGATTTTCTTAGCTATAATCTTTATGGAAACGGATTGCCAGACCTTTCTTCGACAGTGCCCCTGGATGGGTTCTAACTGCCAACTTATAGCTTAGTAGATGAGTACAAAATGTTTGGTCCATCCAAGGACCTCGGTTAATCTTAGGGAGCTCCAAATGAGTACCCCCATAGGAGATCTCCTGTCCCTAGTTCTCTTACCAAGTGCAGATCCAGGTTGGAGCTGTCACTGAAAACAGGGTTATGGCCCAGAGAGGTTAAGGCACCTTCCCTGGGTCACTCAGCAGCAGAACTGATGAATGTCAGACTTGCTGACTCGGATAAAACCTAGCATTTATCAAGCGCTAACTGCACGTTGTGAATTTCGTAGGCAGGCTCTCCTAGTGAGGCAGGTCTGAGGCCTGAGGCTGGTGGTCTAGGCTACAGGGTCCTGACAAGGGGCCATCATCTACAGCTCAGGTTGTGCACACAGGTGCAACTCTCCAGGTGAGAGGTTCTTCCCTCCCACTAGACCTCCCTGACTCCTTGTCCCCACTTACAGATGTAGAAATTGGTATGGCTCGTAGCAGAAATGGTGAGATGGGAGTTGACCACTCGGTCAAGCAGGGCTTTCTGAGAGTCCTGTCCTGGGCTTAGGCCAGAGGAGGAAGCCCCTTGCGTTGGGATCTTTCAGGATGAACAGACTACACAGCCTTGGCCGTCCTCTTCAGAATCTTACTGCCCCCTCCAGCCTTGTTATTGTACCTTTTCCCCACCCATCTGGCCTGTCTCCTTGGAGAACTCACGCTCTCCTCTGGGAATTTCTACCACAGTCCTAGATAGAGCACCAGGAAGTGTTCTCCCTGGGATCTCAGGCAGCCAAAAGCTCACCCAAGGTTGTCCTGGAGTGAGGGGCCTTCACCCAGCTCACCCCTCGCCTGTTCCCCTCCCCACTCAGTGCTCTGCCCTCTCCAAACTGAACGCGGAGGTGGCCTGCGTTGCTGTGCACGATGAGAATGCCTTCGTGGTGGGCACTGAGAAGGGGAGAATGTTCTTGAACGCTCGCAAGGAGCTGCAGTCAGACTTCCTCAGGTTCTGCCGTGAGTAGCGAGTGCTCTGTTCTGGAAGCTTCTGTGGGGTCAGGGCCGCCGGGCACACAGAACACTGGGGAGGCCCAGGGATGAACTGGGCAGGTCGGGAATAGTGTGAACTGATAGAGCCGGCTGGCTGGGCGCCGTGGACCCATCTCTATCTGCTCATGGGAGCAGCCTTCTAAGGGGAGGCCCAGCCAATCTTACAGCCCACACAGCTTTCTAAGCCTCTCCAGGTCACCGGAGGCCTGGTTGCTGGAGGGTGGGTAGCCGGGTGGGCAGTGGCAGGGGTCTGGGGCTCCCAGCATCTCAGGGCGGGCCAGGCTGGGCCTGAGGAAGGAGCACCTAGCTTTTCACAGCCCACAGAGCCGCTATTTATAGTGCCCGTAAGTCGGCTGGTTTATTTCAAGCTTCGCAGATCCCCCAAGGAGAGCAGGCTTCAAGCCGAGAGGGGCTGTGGGCCCTCTCGCCCCCCTCTGATGCAGCTTCTAGCATGTTCCTCAGGGATCCAACCACATTCCCGGCCCCTGTCTCTTCGCAACCCCATAGCCTCCTGGTGGGGCCCCACTGAAACCAGGGGCCGAATTGGTGTGGGCAAAGAACACAGGAAGGGGTAGAGGGAATAGCTAGGCCAACTGTTTCCCATGGGAGCTCACAGAAAGGCCCAGAGAGGGAGGAACTTGCCCACACAGCGAGTTAGAGGTGACTAAGGATAAGACCTGGGCACTGGGGACTCTGAAATGACCAACTCTGGCCCTTAGCAAGGGGGCAGGTGGGCAGAGGTGGCTCACTCACTAACGCCCTTCACTCATTCATTTGCTCAGCATATTGGGAGCCTGGCTGTGGGGCTCAGTGTGGGGCAGGTAGGCGGTACTCACAGTGACCCCACACTGTGTCCCACAGGAGGGCCCCCATGGAAGGACCCAGAGGCAGAGCACCCCAAAAAGGTTCAGCGGGGTGAGGGCTGTGGCCGGAGCATCCCAAGGACCTCCCTGGAGCACGGCTCGGACGTGTATCTTCTGCGGAAGATGGTAGAGGAGGTGTTTGATGTTCTTTATAGTAAGATCCTTCCTCATTCCATTTGGGGCCCCGGGGGGAGGGAGCCCCAAGGACAGCCCAACTGGCGAGACCCCTGTGCCTCACTCAGAGCATGGGGTGTTGTCCGCCCTAGTCCTCCTTCACCCTACATCCCAGGCATGGATATCCCCTCTCACCTCATTTCCAGAACCTTCTGCTGTCCCAAAGCTCCTGCCCCAGTCAAGAACCCTGCTGTCTCTCTTTCCTGGAAATCATCCAAGGTCACTGTGGTCCCCCTATCTCCAGACAGGCTCTCTGCTGCCCTCTCAGCCTTGTGACCTAAGGGCATCTGCCCAGAGCACAGCTCTACCATGAAGAATCTCCCTCCACTGCCTTCAGTGGCTCCCTGCTGCCCTCAGCATGGCGTAGGTGACTCTCTGAGAGGCCTGTCTCTCCTCCCTCCCCTCTCCTTACATCTCCCTATTCAGCCCACCTCAGGAAGCCACTTCATTTGCCCATTTCAGGAAGCCTGCTTGGTGCTGCAGGTGAAGGAAGCACTGGACTGCTAACCTTAAGGTCTGCGGTTCAAACCCACCAGCCACTCTGAGGGAGAAAGTTGAAACTGTCTCCTCCTGTAAAGGTGCACAGCCTCAGAAATCCCCCGAAACAGTTCTACTCTGTTCTGGAGGGCTGCAGTGAGTCGGAATCGACCCAGAGGCAGTGGGTTTGGAGTTTGTTGGTTTGATGTTTGTTCTCTGGTGAACACCTGTACCCTCCCTAAGGCTCAGGTACCCCCACTATGCCCAGGTGTGCTCCTTGGTCTGAGATCATCTGTCCTTTCTGGACAGAGCCTGCTTGTTGAATGGCTGACTGAGGGCCCCCTGGTCAGCGAGTCCTTCCTGGCTTCACCTCAGCGCTGTCAGCCCCAGTGGTCACCTTTACACACCCTGGGTGACCTTGGTCAGCTTCTTCGGTCCCTAGGGTCCCACCTTCCTCACTCCTGACTTGCTTTGCTGTTTTCCTTCTCACGGCTCCTGGTTTTTACAGAGCAAATGTCTGTGAGGACCCTTTTGTTAAGAGGAGATAGCTGAGTCAGGAGAGGGGCTCAGAGGCCCAGAATGGGTGCCCTGTTCACCACGGGATCAGGCTTCAAGCTGAGAGGGGCCGCAGGGCCCTGTCTCCACCCTCCAATGTAGCTTCTAACACTTTCCTCGGGGATCCAGCCACACTCCCGGCCCCTGTCTTTCTGTAGCCCTGTGGCCACCAGTCGAGCCCCACTGGGGATGGGAGAGCTTGGCACACCAACTGGCTGTTTTGCTGCAACATGGCCAGCGGCAGGACTGGTGACCACACCTGCCTACCTGCCCCCGGCCCACCTCAGGCACCATTAGGGCTCCCCTTGTCAGCCACTGACCCCACCTCTCACTGTATCAGCCCACCTGCTTCCTCTCATTCCAGCATCTTCTTCTCTTCTCCGAGCCCCTTCTGATTTCTTCCTCACTTTCTCTCTTCTGCAGCTTTTCATCTTCCCTGTCTCCCTCCCATCCTCACATCTTTCTCATACCGGTTACTTCTTGTACCCACTTTTCTCTCTTACCCCTTCATCCTCGTCACCTACCTCTGAGGAGCTGCCCCAACCAGAGGGGAAGGGCATGGTGGAGAGCAGGGGCATCCCTGCTGGGAGAGTGGACAGTGAGCCTTGTCCACCACCCCTGATTACCCATTCCCCAGCCTGTGGGGGGTTATTCTACTGGGACATTTGCTTTTCTGAGGCATCTGTGGGGTCCTGGCAGTCAGGGGAGTCACTCCACATCAGCCCAGCTCTGGGGGCTCTCGTGGCCCCGCCCCAGCCTGGCTGCTGTCTCACCCCAAGCCCTGTCCACCTGCTCCACAGGTGAGGCCCTGGGCAAGGCCAGTGTGGTGCCGCTGCCCTACGAGCGGCTACTCAAGGAGCCCGGGCTGCTGGTTGTACAGGGGCTGCCCGAGGGCCTGGCCTTCCGGAGGCCGGCCGAGTATGACCCCAAAGCTCTCATGGCCATTCTGGAACACAGCCACCGAATCCGCTTCAAACTCAAGAGGTGAGTGAGGGACCTGTCTCAGGCAGGTCATCAGCTGCTGCCATCAGCTCAGGCAGGTGGAGGGGCTTTAGGAACGCTGATAAAACTCCCAGTCTGATAGTGGAGGTGAGCCAAGTGCCCAGGAGTGGAATGTGGCTGGAGCCTGGTCACTTGCAAAGAGGCTGAGAGAGATGTGACTTGGCAGAAAATCCCACAAAGCCATTGCAGGTGTCAGAAGAGCTGTGTAACAGTGAGATGGTCGGGAGGTCAGTGGGGGCTCGAACCTGAACCTGCCTCTCCAGGGGAGTCCCGGGGGACGATGGTGGACTGAGTCTGGAGGGCTGTGGCAGGTTGGGCGGGCGAGGGACACGGAGCCTGGTCCAACACTGGCCTCGCTCTGTGGTCCTGCGCCCCTACTTGTCACATGGGAACAAGCTCCTGTCCTGCTCTGATGGGACTGGTGTGTTCTGGGAAGGGGAGGGGTGGAGGAAGAGAGGCATCTGGTGGGACAGGTGTGCAAACCTGCCCCTTGTTCCTTTCTGCAGACCCCTTGAAGATGGTGGGCGGGACTCCAAGGCCCTGGTGGAGCTGAATGGAGTCTCTGTGATACCCAAGGGCTCACGGGACTGTGGCCTGCATGGCCCGGCCCCCAAGGTGCCACCCCAGGACCTGACCCCCACCGCCACCTCCTCCTCCATGGCCAGCTTCCTGTACAGCTCCACACTCCCCAACCACGCCATCCGAGAGTTCAAGCAGGAGACACCCACCTGCCCACCGGTACCCAGTGACCTGGGCCTGGGCCGGGCCGGGCCAGAGCCCAAGGTCCCTGGTACCCAGGACTTCCCTGACTGCTGTGGTAATGCTGCCACTGGGACCCTAAGTCTGGGTGTGGGACAGATGCCTGCGTGGGGTACCCTCCATGGGTGGGCGGGAGACTAAGGCCTTCCTGAGTCGGGCTGGAAGGAGGCTTGTGTGGGCAGAGCTAGTGGCTTAGACCCTGCAGGACCCGGGTCCTCAATCCACCATCTTTGCATGACACCCTCTGTCTAGAAGTGCCTGAGGGGCTTCCAGAGGCATCCGATGAGCAGTGACTCACCCTCAGCCTGAGTTAGGGCTCCTGGAGGCATAAAGAGAAGGACAGTTGAGAGCGGGGTCTATGTTGACTGTTTATTTCATGGCTACCAGCCCTGAAGCTAACCTCTGAGTCTTAGTTCCCTCGTTTGTAAAATAGAGATGTGAACAGAACCTACTTCAGAGTTGGTGGTGGTGGTGGTTATGTGCCGTGGAATCAGTTCCAACTCATAGCGACCCTGTACAGGGTTTCCGAGATTGTAAATCTTTACAGGAGCAGAAAGTCTCATCTTTCTCCCACGGAGCAGCTGGTGGTTTCGAACTGCTGACCTTGTTTGTTGTTGTTAAGTACCGTGGAGTTGGTTCCAACTCATAGTGACCCTGCACAGGGTTTCCGAGGCTGCAGATCTTTACGGGAGCAGAAAGCATCATCTTTCTCCCACGGAGCAGCTGGTAGTTTCGAACTGCTGACCTTGTTAGTGACGATTAAATGACAGATCCTCAGCATCTCCCGAGAGGGTGTTAGAAATGTATGTTCTCAGGTCGAGCCCTGCTGAACTGGAGGCTTTGTGGGTGGGGCCCAGCTGTGAGTATTTTAACAAGCGTTCCAAATAGTTCTGATGGGTACTAATGTCTGAGAACCGGAGTCCTAAGTCTAATGCTTGGCACATGTTGTTTTCATAGTGACCCCATATAGGGTTTCTGAGAGATGCTGGTGGGTTTGAATCACTGACTGTGCAATCAACAGTCCAATGCTTTTTGTACAGTGCCGGACCAGGACTATAATCATCTTGTTGCTGCTGTGTGCTGTTAAGTTGGTTCTGACTCATAGTGACCCTGTATAGGGTTTCCAAAAGCAGCTGGTGGGTTTGAACCACCAACTTTGCGGTTAATCCTACAGCACCACACCAGGACTCTGCTTGTCACATACAGCTTGGGCTTAAAGGTTATATTGACTTTTACTGTTACTATTCTCATGAGGAGAGAAAAGGACCCCTCCCCTCCATGAACTTGAGGCCTGAAACAAGTGTTCCATCTGTAAAGGATGGCTCCAACATCCCGCCCTCATTGATCTGGAATAGAAGGTTTCAGAAAGAATGGTTCAGGTCTCCTGTGAAGGAAGCACCTGTCATCCTGACAGAAGAGACTATTATTACCCCAGATCCAGAGCCCGTCCACTAAGGCTGGAGCTGGGGAGCCCCCTTGGGGCCCACCTTGAAGCTGCACCTTTTCTCTCCCTTGTCCAGGACAGAAGCCCCCCGGGACTGGCGGGCCTCTCATTCAGAATGTCCACGCCTCCAAGCGTATCCTCTTCTCCATCGTCCACGATAAGTCGGGTAGGACGGCACCCTTGACAATACCCTGACCAAAGTGGGGGTGGGGTGGAGAAAGGGTGCTGATTGGAATGGAAATACACCCATTGGGTCTTTGTGAGGAATAGGAGGTGTGTTTCTGCTCAGGGTGAAACAGTTATTGACCACTGCGTAACAAGTTGCCAAAGACAGCAAACATTTATTACCTCACAGTTTCCATGGTTCAGGAAGCCAAGAGCGACTTAGCTAGGTGGTTCTACCTCAGGATATCGCCTGAGGTTGTGTTAAAGGTGTCAGTAGGGGCTGTGGTTGTCTGAAGACTTGACTGGAACACATTCAAGTTTCCTCATGTTGTGGGCAGGAGGTCTCAGTTCCTGACTATGTGGGCCTCTCTAGTGCTGCTTGAGTCTCCTCCAAGATGGCCGCTGGTTTCCTCCAGAGTTAGTCATCCAAGATAGAGTAAGGAGGAAGCCATGTGCCTCAAAAGTCGTGGGCACTTCCGCCATATTCTATCCAGCCCACACTCCAAGGGGTAGTGTATTCCAGTTCACCACTTAGAAGAGAGGAGTACCGAAAACAATTATGAACATATGAGGGGGCTTCAAAAATTTGTGGGGTAATGGAATTAAAAGATAATGGAGTTTATCCAGGAACTTTTTGAAGACCCCTTGTACTTTTTAAACTATCACACAGAGAGACTAAGAGCAGGAAAATTTGACTGGGAGTGTCAATTATAGCAAAAAGGAATGAAGACTTAAGACTCTTGTAGACTTAAGAGTCCTAGCATTCTGCCTTATAGAGATTTTGGCCTCACCCCAGTGAGAGGATCTTTAAGAAAACCTAGTCCCCTGGGATCAGAATGGAAACCCTACTGCCCCCAACAAGGATGAGGAGGAGGGGACACAGATATCCAAATGGAACAGCACCATGGGAGGCCAACATGGGCAAGAGATGTGACCTGTGATAAGAGTATTGCTGGGTACTAGCCGGGTGACCTCAGGTAAGACCCTCACCCTTTCTGAGCCTCAGGTTTCCCATCTGCAAATTGGGCATGATAATCTGTTTTAAAGTTGTCTTCAGAGAATAAATAGGATAATAATAATATGAAGATAGGTCACAAAATATCACACGGTTCCAGTTCATACATGCATGGGTTTATTCCAAACAAAACATGTTTAAACATGTCTCTGTCATCAGTGGATGGCTGGGGTAGGCAAGTTCTCTGAGTAATATACTTGCCTGAGTCTCGTTAGGTGGCCTTCAAAAAGGAGACACTTTTTGGGCCATGGTAAAAATTACTTTTGAGGTCAGGGCTAGTATTAAATTTTTAACAAAACTCAAGTAGACATCTTCCCAAATCACTGAAGCTCTGCAGCAAGTTTATAGAATGCCGTCCAACATAAAACCACAATTTTTAGATGGATTAAGCATTTTAAAGAAGGTTGGGAAGACCTCAAAGATGAACCAAGAGAGAGATGACTGCCATCATCAATTAAAAGACTAGAAACAGGTGGAAGAAGAGTAGAATTACAGTCCATGCGATAGCTACTGAACTTGGGATCTCACATGGTTGGGCATTTTCAATTTGAACCATGGTCTCATCGAGTTTCGGTTCAACGAGAGCCACAAATGTTGTGGGAAGATCAGCTGTCTCAAAGAGCTGATCTTCCAATCAGTATTGTAAGTAAGAGGGAAGCTAAGATGAAGTTTTGGAACAAATCGCCACCGGGGATGAGTCTTAGATTTACCAATACAATTGCGAGAACAAAGGTCCTATCAAGGCAATGTTTTTTGAGGGCATCTGCTGACCCAGTTAAATTCAAGGCAGAGAGTTCAGCTCAGAAAGTTATGACTGTTTTTAAGGATCCCAAAGGGATCATCGAGAGATTTTCTGAAGGACATCGGACAATCATGGGGGCTAAGTATGAAGATGTTTCAAGAAAATCAAAAACCGCACAGATGAGGAAAAAGCCAGGGAAATTGTGCTGAGAGTTTTTTTTTCTCCATCATGACAATGCATCTGCTCCTTCTTCAAAGGAAGAGTTCGTTGGGAAACGTCACCCCATTCACCCTACAGTCCTAATCTTTCCCCTTCAGACTTCTTTCTCTTCCCAAAGCTCAAAGAACATTCAAAAGGAATATGATCTGAGTCCCTTAAAGGTGCCCAAACTGCCGTTTTGGTGTGGTATAAAGCTAAGATGGTAGAATTTTGGGGGTAAGGGTTGTTGTTGAGTTGGTTCTGACTTAAAGCGACCTTACATAGGGTTTCCAAGGAGCGGCTGGTGAGCTTGAACCGCCGACCTTGTGGTTCAAATCTACCTTGCAGTCCAGAGCATTAACCCACAGCACCACACCAGGACTCCCGGGGAAGGGTTAGAGAGATGGAAACACCACCTTCAGAAGTATGTCGAAAAACAAATAGCTCCATTTCTTGATATTTTTATTTCACAAAGATTTTTGATTTTTTATAGCTGTAGTTTTTTCACTTACCCTTGTATATAAAGTACTTAGCACAGACAAAACACTTAAGAAATTAAAGTTGTGGCTTTTTATGAATTCTAATGAACCCGAGTATTGCTGTCATTCTTAGTATGAAATTCAGACAGAGGCCTTGTTTTATGGGCAAGAGGAGACCAGCAGGCCTGAGGAACCTGAGCAGAGCCAAGCCTGGCTGTTATCTCAGATGTGAGGGGACAGGGTGAGGCTTTTGAGGTTGCAATTTGGCCTCTCCTTACTCGGGGAGACCACATTGCCTTCCTCTGGCCTGTCTGATGCAGAATGGGCCCAGAAAGGTCAGGCTGAGCCTGCACGGTGCCCGTAGGGGAGGACAGAGGGCGGACCAAGGGATGATCTTGGCAGCATCTTAGGAGAGAGCAGACAGTGCCCAGTTGTACTTTGGACGGCTGTAGAGGGTCAGGGTCTGAGGTGGCAGTGGGTGGGTGGGCTGAGGCTGTCTAGGGACCCTGGAGGAGAAAAGTGGTGGGCCCAGGCCAGTGGAGGTGGCTGTATGGGGCCGTAGCTCTCAGCCAGGAGGGCCCACAGGGAGCAAGCAGCCTGGCTGCCTGCTCTAGCCTCTCACGTGTGCCTCCTGTGTTCTGATAGAGAAGTGGGACGCCTTCATCAAGGAGACTGAGGACATCAACACGCTCCGCGAGTGTGTGCAGATCCTCTTTAACAGCAGATATGGTGAGTAGGCGGCGGCCGCGGCGGGGCCCAGCGCAAGGGGAGCCTCTCATTTCACGGGCGTCGCTCATGTTCCCCAACACGGCAGCGGGAGCCATATGCTGCGCCCGCGTGCATCCACACTCCTGTCACCTGCACCCCTCCCATCCGGGGATGGGGGGGCTGTGTCAATATTTCCTTCCCAGATCCATCAGAGGGAGGGCTGATGGCAAAGTCCTGGTCCTCGCCCACCCGTGGAAGTCTGGACCGTGGGGTAGTTCACCGTCTGGGGACCAGCCAGCGGGCTCAGGAAGTAGACTTGGGGCTTGTGTTAGTCACTTGTCAGTCCCCATGGCCCTGCCCTATGTCCTGCCCGGTGTCTCCACCTTTTCTTGGCAAACGGCTGCTTGACTTGGAGGCTTACCTGGGGCAGCCTGGCCTCATGGACGCCCTCCTCTCCTTTACACACCTTGCTTTGTTGGGCCTGTCTTGTGTTTCTCTGGGCTGACACCTGAACCTTCACCCCCAGGTGATTGGCCGGCATATTGGAGATCTCCACAGTGGGGAACACAGCCACTGGTGGGCTAGAAGGCAAGGACTGGACCAAATGGGGATCCTGGCCTTGCCCACCCCTCACCCTGTTTTTCTGCCCCCTTGGCAGCCCCGCCTGCTCCGCTCATTGGATCACTCAGTCTTTGGGGACTGTCTGTGAGCCCCAGTCACTGTTGGGTGCAGTGACTTTTCGTCACGAGGAGATGGACCACTCTTTGCCCACTTGGAAGGGTGTCCCTATGGATGTGTCTTTCTGCGAGCCATAGGGAAACTCCCTACATAGCTAGAGCTGTCGATGATGTCATATGGTGGAGGACAGCTCAGGGCTCTGGACATCCTTGTCTGTTCCCATTGGAACAAGATTCACCTCAGGCTCTGCAGACAGACTGCTAGGAGAGCCCAGCTTCATCAGACCTTCATCAGACCTCCACACTGACTCCAGTGCCCTCACTCTGAATGCACCGTATCGAATGACTTTAAAGTTCTCACCTCCCCTGTCCTCTGTGCCCACCTACCGGTCCTCTGTGCCCACCTCCCTCCCCATTCTCTGTCCCCACCTCCCAGTCCTCTGTGCCTACCTCCCCTGTCCTCTGTCCCCACCTACCGGTCCTCTGTCCCCACTTCCCAGTCCTCTGTGCCCACCTCCCCTGTCTTTTGTCCCCACCTCCCCTGTCCTCTGTCCTCACCTCCGCCTGTCCCCTGTCCTCACCTCCCTGGTCCTCAGCATCCTCTCTATGAACTAATGGCAAGAGCACCTCACCTCTCTCCTAGCTCTCTTTTCTTCTTCCCTCCGTCCCTCATTTTCTTCCTATCCCCCCTCCTTTTCCCTCACTTTCTGCCTTTCTTTCTCACACATCCTGTGGCTCGTTCACTCATCAGTCATGCGCTCTGAACCCCCGCCGATGTCAGGCACTGTAATGGAGGACCGTGAGACCCCGTCCAGCGGTCTGCTACCCTGGGGACCTCAGAAAGGAGAGGGCAGCTCCAAGGTGGGGAATCGGGGAGGTGTCCTTAGACTAAACAGACTGCCCAAGAAGCAGGGTTAGCTCAGGTGTATTTCTGTTCCTTTATAATCTGTAGTGAATAAATTCACATGGGTCCCACTGCATCAAAGATGTGAAACACATGTGAAATTGTTGACAAGAAGTTGATAATTAAGCACGAGGAGGCTGGTGCTTGCCTAGCTTCCTGGATCCTGAGAGAGCCCTCCTTAGAAGCAGAATCTTTGATGTGGTGACGAAATGTGAACTAGCTCACTACAGAGTAGTAAATACAAGCAGACACGAGCTTACCTTGCTTATTGGGTAATCCGACACTGCCCTTTGATCTGGGCCAGGCCTGAGGAGACCTGGGAAGGTGGGCCTCTCGGGTGAGGGTGGGACAGAGCTAGGCTCTGGAAAACTTAGTAAGACGTCTGGGCTAGCCTGGGCACCTTTGATGTGGCCACCTGGGCTGGCATCTCCGCCCCTTCAGCAGCCCGAGTGTCTCCCCACCCTGGGCAGGTGGGAGCCAGACGGAGACTGGGTGGGGCTGTGGTGAGGGTCCGGCCCAGCAGAGCTGGCACACAGCCTCGGGTGTAGAGCTAGGCAGCTGCCCGCCTTCCAGCCTAGTGCACATACTGGACAGTTCCGAGTACTAGGCGTGTCAGGTGTCAGCACATGGGCCCCTCCAGCCCCAGGTAAAGGAGGAGTTTGGGACTGGCATGGTGAAGAAGATCCTTGGCGTAGGGACAGAGCTTCTTGTGAGCTGCCCCTCAGCTGTCCCAGGAGTGGGGGGATGGGCAGGGGAGGACTGTTCCCATGACCCTGGTATACTCAGCCTGCTGCTGGCTCCCGTCCTCTCAGCCGCCTCCTCTGGGTGATGGGGACCAGCAATGGACTGGGGGAGCAGAGGGAAGAAACAGAAAAGGATGAACTGGGAGGAGGAAGCCTCCCAGAGAGACGTTGCTCATGGGCAGGCAGCTCCCGCCTCCCCTGGCAGTGGATAGGACTGTTCACCTGCTTTCTGCAGTGCCAGGCCCAGCCAACCAGATGGATGTGATGAAGATCGCTTCACACAGGCATGGACCCATCACCCCAAGGCTGGGGGCGGCGGTGATACTGAAGGAAGAAATGGTTTGACAGCTGTTGTGAATTCGAGGGTTTAATTTGACAACGAGCTAAGTGGGACTTCACAGTGGCTGCCAGCGACGCCAACATGGACCTGGGCGACATCAACAGAGAAACCTTGTTCGTGGCGCCCGAGGGAGAGCCCAGGGAAGGATGAGCACCCAGCCCTTAGCATACTGTTTGGTGCTCAGTAAGCATTCAGTGAATGCATGGATGAACACGTGGAGCTGGGCTGGCAGTGAATGGCTGTCAGATGACCAAGACCAAACCCAATGATCCTCTGCAGAGCAGAACGAAACACTGCCCGGTGCTGCGCCCCCCTCACAGTCACTGCAATGTGTGAGCCCATTGCTGCTGCCACTGGGTCAGTCCATCTTGTTAGGGGTCTTCCTCTTTCTTGCTGACCCTCTACTTCACCAAGCATGATGTCCTTCTCCATTGACTGGTACCTCCTGACAACATGCCCGAAGTATTGAGACAAAGTCCCACTCTCCTCGATGCTATGGAACATTCTGGCTGAACTTCTTCCTAGATGGATTTGTTTATTCTTGGGCTAGTGCTGGATATATTCATCATTCTTCACCAATAAGCACCATAATTTCAAGAAATCAATTTTTCTCCTAGCTTCCATAGTTCACTTTATAGCTTTCACATGCATATGAGATGATTGAAAGGACCAAGGCTTGGGTCAGGCTTACCTTAATCTTCAAAGTGACATCTTTGCTTTGTGAAACTTTGAAAAGATCTTATGTTGGACGGAAGGTCACATGAGTGGGAGCCACTTGATGGCCTGGAAGAAAAGAGGGCGGGACTAATTCGTGGTCCAGTTGCTTCCAACTGCTTCGTGTTGCTACTGATGAGTACAAGGCATGTCACACCTTCCCTGGAGGACAGGGTACACATACCTGAGTGACCGAGGAGTTCCTTGTATTTCTGTGTGCTTGTCCTGGCCAGAATTGTCCCAAGAGTTGCTTAGAACCTGGGTGTTTCCTTCAGCCATTCATTCATTAGGAGAACATTTATGGAGTGCCTAGGAGCTCTAGTAGCATAGTGGTTACGAGTTGGGCTGCTAACCTTAAGGTCAGCAGTTTGA